TTCCTGTGATTCTCTGGGATGGCAGTCCATCAGGATTGTGATTAGAAACCTTCACTGCATCCAACTGGCAGAGCTGAAAGACAGAATCCTTTAACCGGTGTTGATCTTTTCAGATGAGAGTCAAGTAGATTATGTTTTCTGTCTGTCTAGACACCAAAATAGGAGTCAAGAAATATTATCTCCTCTACCTTGTGCTCCTATAAGAGACAGAGTAGGAAGCTGGGACACAACAACGTAGCCCATTTCCATCAAATCTTATTAGACTGTTCCACCGGAGCAAACACTAATAAATCCTGCTTTTGCTGGATATTGCATGACAGTAAAAGTGACAAGAAATGCTGCCGGAGGAGAGGTCTGACTCTGCCGGCCTCAGGGACAAAGAGCAAAAAAAACGGCTTTAGGATGTGTGTCGTAATCAGATTCAAACAGGGACATGGAGGACAAAGCTGGCATTACACTTAAGTTGGTTATGTAAATGTGTGGTGCATTTTTAATGCTCAGTTCTACAGTTGACAGATTTCCTTTTCAACCACAGAATAAATCATTATTTCTGCTGCTCCACGTGTGGCTCTGAGATGACACTCCACGTTTAAGGTCAGCCATGGACATCCTGTTTAATTCCTATTTATGCGCTGATCAGTATTCTGTTGCCGAGCGTTGCCCTTGCAGGTTTGAAGAGCAGTGGCTCCAGCCGTGATGTAAAAGGTTTGTCAGTGTGTTTTTTAGTGCTGTGAGTCATAGCCGGAGCACAAGTGTAGAGATGTAGAGCTAGGAATAGTGTATGTCGTATTGTGCAACAGGGAGAAAGCTGGATGGTCTAACAATAACAAGACAGCTCCTGCCAAATCTCATGATCAATATCAACCAGACCAGACTCCATACATCTTTCTTTCTGTCTCCTCACCTCCCAATCTCTTTTTCTCACTCTTGTCTGTCACTCCATCTGTCTCATAGTTTTTTTTTGCACTGGAACAAGAGCCACAATTTTTTCGTAGAAGGTTGAACCTACCTCCCAGCCCGCAGACAGGAATGGCCATATATAGGCTTCTGTCTCCACACTGGAAGCCTCATAAGCTGCTGCTCTCCTCTCTGTGAGCAGTTTCCATAGCAACAGTATTTTGTTTCCCTCTGTGGCAGGAAGAGAGAGAGAGATAGGAGTTTGAAATGAGAAAGGGAGTAGAGGACAGGGCTGGATGTGCGATAAGGGCACAAGAGAGGTAAATACACGAGTCAGAATGAGGAAATAAAAGAGCGGAATAAGGATGTTTTTGTGATAAAGCACAGGAGGGTCATTGGCTTTATGGGTATTAAGTGGGTTTTCTTGTTCCGGGATGAGTGCCCGACGAAAAACAACATTACGTAAACCAAATTCAGCCTGACTCATAGCTACATTCACCTTTTTTTTTTTTCAGGTCACAGCAGTGGAGATGAACAAAAGAGCTGACAGTGACTTGGGCAGGGATATAGGGCAGATTGGTTCTGTAAATAGTTTTCAGATGTAAGTCATTACGATAAATACTCTCTGGCATAACAGCAAGCTCTTAGGGATGCATTAATGTCCAGGATATTTTTCTTTATGCAAACATCAGCTACCATAAAACATTTTTACATTAAATAGTTCACTTTGTAAAACCAGAAGGACGATATGTAATTTCAATGACATGGCTTCAAAGCTGCAGTTTTTAATGGACTGTTAACATGCCATAATAATGTATTGCTTTGATGCCAAATTTCACCTCCTTTTCCACATCAGCCGTCCTCGCTGGATTAGAATCACAACCAAAGCCAGCATCCATTAGTTCAGCAGCAGCACCTTTTAGATCTTATCTCCTCTAAGGAGACAGGAGTGACTGATGTGTGAATTATTCCATGTGGTTTGAAATCAGGGGGAGAGCATCAAAAATACGTCTGGCAACACCTTTCGCCGAAATGAGAGATGAAAGCAAAAAAGGTGTCGCCTGCTAGTGATTTAGTTATCGTCTCGTGCAAAACAGACCATTTACAGAAAAACTTGTTAATAATGCACATCAGCCAGAGGACTCCACGTTTATTTTCGTCCTCTTCCATCACTGGCCAGGCCGTTTATTCCAGCTGCATCTGTGGGATTTATCCGAGCACTGGAAACCCCAAAGACCTCAAAAATGACAGCGAGGCAGGAGAGAAGGATTTCAGCGGAGGGGAAGGGGAGAGGAGAGCGAGGAAAGTAGGAAAAGATATGTACTTGAAAAATGTTCACCCCTACAAACGAAGCATGATGAGATTGTTCAGAAGCAGTAAAAGAATCTGAAGCCATCAGCAGGATTCAGAGGAGAGGCGAGCAGAAAGATGGACAGGAGTGGAGAAGAGAATGAAATGCGAGATGGGGGAGATTCTCATTTACAGTCCTGACTAGATCCTCGCTCCCCATCCCTGTTGCTTCCATGACAACCAGACAGAAGGTTACAAGGTGGAGGGCGTAATGAGTTTTAGTCTTTAGATAGATGCAGACGCCTCATCTCAGCCGCTCTCTTTCACTTTAATGACCTCCTACTTACTAATCTGATGAAAGGCAGTATTCATCTGCCTTTATTAGTGTCACCAAAACCTGTGTTTTTATGTTTTATTAAAGCCAGTAGTGAGGAGTGAAAGGAGGATGCAATTAGATCGGATCAAGTTGTGAAGTGAACAGAGAGGAGCTTATTTGGATTTCCAAATAT